CAAATGACGGTTCACCATAAGCTCTCACGTGATTAGTAGTGTTCGAGTAAAGAGCCTTCAAAAGGGTTTTTGTACTGAGGTACTCCTTTCAATGACAGACACTGCCACAGAACCTCTCGGTCTACAAAGTCAAATGCTGCTTTTAAGTCAAGAAAAACTATAGTTGTTGGACGCTGATAAGCGTGCGTGTGTTCTAAAACCTGACGTATGGTCGGTACAGCCACGACCAGGTCTAAAGTCAGCCTGATTTTATCGTGTTTGCAGTTCACAAGTCTTAGTTAGGCGTCCGATAATCGTCGAGGCTAGTATTTTAGATACTATATTAGTCAAACTAATCCCTCTATGGTTATCACAGGATGATTTTGACCCTCCCTTATATATTGGGACGATAAGTGATTGTGACTAGTCAGATTGGATTACGTCCAACTCCCAGATTTCAGCTAAAATATTAGTCAAGCTAATCGTTAAAATTGGACCACTATACTTAAAGACCTCTGGAGCCGATACATCTGCTCTTCCTTATCTCTGATTAACCATAGCTTTTCGAACTTCAACTAGAGTCGGGAGCCTATTTCATTGTTCTATTCAGGCTATTTGGAAATGGTGAGTAGCTGGACTGCTCCTTAAGATGTTCTGCCCATAGTTCTAAACGTCTGGACTGCGAGCAGATAAATGCCGTCTTTTTCCGAGATTGTCTCATTGGACTTCTTGATTACAACTTCTTTTATTAGTCTGAAAAGCTGTCATTTGTTACCTACAGCCGCTGCCTTTTCCATCTCTTTCGTTTTCAATGCCCACCACTATTCACGATCGTTCCTTGGACTTTTGGTTAACCTAGGTCGGATTCGCTTTTACTCTTCACTGTGTTCGGATCCTGATCGGATAAGTTTACGAATCTGTCAGTGCAAAAGATGTCGCAAAACTCCACTGGTTTTTCGTAGCCCTTTTGTTCAAATCACCTACAGATGTAGCTGCTGTTTCCACAGCTGTCTGTATATCTTTCGAAGCAACATCTTGGTCAGTTTCGTTTTCGAAATTGGCTTAGTGTGGCCTCAATTATTCCTGGAATCTAATCTTGGCTTTCTCGTCACTGAGTGCAACTCTAATGGGTCTTCTGAATGTGACTTTTGAGCGTCCAGTGAGGTGCAGAAAGGAAATGTGTGCTTCTATTAGAGAGTAATCAGAGTCTAAACATGCATCCTAGAACATGTGGCAGTCTTCTGTAGAGCCTCTCCAACGATGACTGATGTCAATATGAGTCCATCGTTGGTTTGGTGCGGGAGGTTACAATGTTAGACGATGTCTCCTTATGTGCTTGCAAAAATAAACGATTGTCTGAGCACACTTGCAACAGATGGTCACCATTATCTGTTCACTAAACCGGAATAGCAAAATATCCATCCAAATGTTTTTCTGTTTGGTTTAAGTTACCTATTTGAGCACGAAAGTCATTTGCCACGAGTACCATGTCTGAATATTTAGCTTTTTGAAGAAGTTCTGGAAGCTTTCTGTAAAATTCATCTTTCACTTCATCCGCGCTGCAGTGGGAGTGTAGGCACAAATGACGAAACGGCAAAAACGTGTGTTTTTATCCTTTAGGGTTCTTACGGAGCCATTTAGCCGAACAGAACATAGGCGACTATTAACAGTGATCTATTGTAAAAGTGTTTGCTCTGCACTCATATTTAGTGCTATGCCTACACCCGCCAGCCCACAAAAACTTGCCGTCGGATCGCCAGATAAATGGAGGGTATATCTCGTCGGCTTCCTGTTTTGGCTCGATGAGGTCAAGTGAATGACTATACTGGAATCCTGTGTGCGTGTTTCGGGAACACAGTATACATCAATCGTACTAGATTCTAGGGTCTTAAACAATGAGGTGTGCCGGCTGACTTCACATAAGGTAAGTACGTCAAAGGCTCCAATGTGCAGTTTCGAGAGATTTTAGTAGACTTGGGATAGTATTTGACACATTAGAATCGTTGGCCATAGTGACACTTGAGGGGGAAGTATAAGGTTGATAGTCGAGGTAGGAGGAATAATAGAAATTGAAGAGGGGGTAGAAGCAACGGTTGGGTACTGTCTATTAGACTAATATTTTGAAATATTTCATAAATCCAACAATGAGGATTACCTATCATACAAGATACAAGACTCCTGGTAAACTTAATATATCGACTTTCTGAGGAGATACAGATGTATTGATAAATAATTACGAAGTCGTTACTGAGATTATCTATTCAGGACAATCATCTACTTTTTCAAATAACGTTTGCATAGTGACATCAGGTTAAAAGCACCTTAAAGGCAAGAACGAAAATGATTACTTCTTTTTCATGGTATGTAATAGTAATAATTTACAGTGTTACCAAGGTAAACAAGTTATTGTTGTGTCATTGTAATGGAAGGTCAGTCAAATTTGTCTCATTTAGTTGCAGAATAAAATCCTCGTCGAGTTTAGCTGGAAAACAATAAAACAAATTTAAAAGCGCCACATGACTGGTCTACTTCTCGATCCCAAGTAGACAAACACCTTTGGTTTGGTCTTTCTTTGGTTACGAAAACAATAAAAAATTGTTAATTTAACGAAACTCATACATTACATAACTTGCTTATTGAAGTATAGGATGGCGAATTTTATAAAGTAGATATTTAAACTACTTGAGATGGTGGAGAAGATTTGTAGCTCAGGTGGGTGGTTTTGGTGGAGTTTTGTTCTCTGAGCTGGATGGTTTGGTCGTGGAGCTTTCATCGTTCTTCTGAACGACATCATCAGCACAAACTTCAAATAGAAGTTTGTGCTGATGATGTCGTTCAGAAGAACGATGAAAGCTCCACGACCAAACCATCCAGCTCAGAGAACATAACTCCACCAATTTAAACTACTGCTTAACAGCTTCAGTGATTAATTAGACCGCACGTTTTTTCAAATAAGTCAACAATGAAGTTTAAAAATACTCCACTGAACTGCAGTTTAACTCATGATACAAAAACCTGGAGGAAATGAAATGAACAAAGTTTTTAGAATCATTCGTAAGACTTTAATTTCTTGAAAAACATTTTCAGTTAGAATCACGAGTTAAAATTGAAGACTGAAGTCAACGTAGTAAGATCACATTGTGACCCATTTGAAAACTTCACATGACAATACATCTTTGCATTACAATTTTAAAATTGCTTCAGGTTTAATTAGCGCCCGTTTGATTGCTAAAAAAAGAATTCTAGTGGATCATAAACTTTTATCTACGTGTTTTCATACAAATATGATTTCGCTTATCTTAAAAAAAGGTTAGTAGTGAATTCAAACTAATTGTGAATTAAGTTTAAGCGTAAATACGAATTCACCACTTTCAAGATTGCGAAGAAAATTGGAATATGAACCAATGAAAACCCTTAGTAAAGAATACAATGATATGTAAGTTTCAGTCAATACTTGAATGATTATCGTGATTAAAGAGTTCTACAATAAAACAGGTAATTTCACTAGCTTAAAGTAATCATATTTGAAACGCCTGAACTCCTTAGTGGTAAGAATAAAACATTAAATATTAGTGGTAATAACGAGAAAAGCAGATCTACACAGCTCTTACATTTTAATGATACAAGTCAGTGTATTCTTACTATCACCCAAAATAAGAACAGTAAGAAGAAATTGTTTAAATTAACTAGGTAAGAGAACTTAATTACAAGTAAAAACGAGGACGATTAATAATGAATTTGTACTTATATCACAGAGATAGTCAGGCTTAAATTCTTATGCAGAGATATGTCATAATGTATGCAACCAAACATCTATCCTTCATTACTGCAGAATGAAAAGATAAACAAAAACATATAGAATACCTAAGGTATAATTTCTGTTACATATTTACAATTTGCAGAAGAATAATCGTGTTACATTGGTAACTCAAAAATGCAAAAATTCCATGAGGTTTCAAGGAAGATTAGAAAAGATGGATAGACAATGACAAACGATTATTCTAGTTAATAGTTATTAAAATAGGTCTAGCTTTGAATGAAACGATGTCACGGTACAATCAATAAGATCATACGAAAAATTATAAAGTTTGACGGACCACAGTAACTCTAGATTATGATTAGTAATAGTTCGACAAACATCCATCATATGCGAATTTGCTATGTGCAACGTGTATTCAGAAAAACGACAGTCCCAAGACGTAAACTCCAGTCTCATTCAAAATTTATAACGCCTGTAAGACGTAAGTAAATTTATTGAAATTTTCAGGGCCAGCACGTGAACTAAGCGCTTCTTGTGTCTCGTATCTAATGTCATCAGTTCTGAGTTAGTAAAGTGACAAATAGTACTAGTCAAATTATCACGTGGTTGATGTAGACCTTTACAATCTAGAACATCAATAGCAACGAAAATAAATTATTTGCTTCCCGAAAAACCAAACCATTGATAAATATATAAGGACTTCTATCTTATTCAGATAATCACTGACCAAAAAGTATTAGTTTCGGAATATTACCATACAGGTAAAAAACGAGATTGAGAGCCTCATCAACACATTCAGGAGTATTTTCTACCCCACGGATACCACAGACAAGTGTGAATCAGAACACAGAGATCACTTTATGACCAAAAATTAATGGTACAATCATTAGACATGCGTAAAAAAACAAGTATCAGCTTTAATAGTAACTTGATGATATTAAACTTCCGAAGTTAGTCTTTGGAAATTTAACAATAAAGGCTTTTATAGACCAGGTAGGAGCAAGAATTAGAATAAATAAGGTTCAATAAACTAAGCATAAATATTTATAATGCACGGGGTGATGGAGCTGAATTCTGGAGTTTACATATATTAGAAGCGTACATTGGACCAAAATATTGAAAAACTGATGTGTATGATAGACTTTCATCAAAATTAGAAATGAAAATACAAGTTTGACGAGTGAGAAGTCTCTGAAAATGCACTAACCCGCAAATGAGAAAATCCATGTGAATTCTCGAAACATACAAGTAAGATGAACAGTTATGAAGCTTTTTTGCGCAGTTCTTCCTCCTCGATTTCGTCCACATCATTCGCCTCAACTTCGTGTTTAATACCAATCAAACTCGATTTTAATACACTTTTTGAAGCAGCATATATCATTCTCTTTTTAACATCCAATGTAGACGGAACCCTAAACATATGAAACTATATGGCGCAAGTAAACGTACCATGAAACGAATATTAGAGTAGGTAATTTTCCTTCGGCTTCGTAATCATAAACTGCATAACATCCTTCACCTTCATCCATCTTTTTTAATAAACTATCCTTGAAATTATGATACGTTTCCGCTACCAGTAAAGAAATTAATTAGTGATTACTTCTATCAGCCTGACAAAGGACTTTTATTTCTTTATCATCTTCAATATGGAAGAGGATGTACCGGTGCTTCTTATAACGCTTCAAGCATTCAAATGCTTCGATGCATGACCTGTGGCATTTTACTCCAGTACTCTATTACAATAAAGTACTGTTAGATTTTTGTGGGTTTTAAAACAAAAATATATATGTATTGACAAGATACACATAAATAAACTACAAACCATTGTAAGTGACGTTCAGACTCGATTACACAAGAAACCGCAAAATGCTTTCAAATCCGCTCGTACATTTACTCCAACGACCTTGGTCAGCTCGGTTCACGGCGGGCATTTTATTTCAGATTTCAGATTCCGATTTGTGTAGTAAGGACAGAAGGCCTACAATCTATGTTATTGCTTTTCTAGTATGCTTCTGTGAGTGTCCAGTCTTCTCTTGAAAGAGTCAATTGAAAGTGCGGACACCACTGCTTCGGGCAGCAGTGGTGTCAAGTACTGATGACTCGGTGTGAAAACCTGTATGTCGAGGGTATTTTGTTCGTTCTTGGCTTTTCTACTCGCCTGTTATGTCCTCTGAGATGTCTCGACTTATTGGGTAGCCTGCTATAGGACAGAGTAAAGAGGTTCAGCTTCTCAAGCCACTCGTTGTATGGCAAACCCCGGAGTTCTAGAATTGTAGTGGTAGCTGCCCTCTGTACTTTTTCTAGGATATCCGAGTCACCTTTTAAACAGGGGCTTGCAACCTGAACGCAGTTCTCTAGCTTAGTTTTCACTAAGGATGTGCATACTGTGGGGAACATAGTATCTAACTTAGTGAATGTCCGTTTTAAAGCCCAGATTGTTCGAAACCCCTTAGCTGCGACCTCCCATCAACGGGCCGTCGTCTTAAGATCATGACTCACTGTCACCCCTAGATCCTTATGCGACCGGACTACGGGTAATGGCACATACCCTATGTTGTAACTATTAACCTTTGAATCCCCGAAATGCACGCAGACACACTTTTCCGCGTTGATAGGCATCAGCCACTCTTTAGACCAGTTTATCATGTTATTTAAGTCTGCTTGAACAGCACATGCGTCTTTATCTTCAGTTATTACTCGCCGGATTTTTACATCGTCAGCGTATAATAACATTGGAGGCTGTACTATACTTGGAAGAACATTAACATATATTGGGATTTAAAATGCTGGGGTTAATTTTGAATGTGTGGGCTAGGACATGTCTCAGATACTTTTTCATGTCTATATAGTATGGTGACGAACATCGTTTAAAATTATCATTGCTATGGTTAAGATTAGTGCTGCTTGTATCCTGTTGTGAAATATTCTATCACAGTACGTATTTTAGACTTTGATAGTTGTTCCGTTACGGAAAGGTAGGCCGATATTGATTTTGGTTGGTGATTAGTGACACATGGAGATAACTTAGCGTTAACTTGATAAACAACCATTAGATAAAATAAAGAACACATATGGTCTTATGAGCATATTTTGCGTCGTGAATAATATATGTATTCCTGAATTTGTAGTATCTGTCTAATAATGGTCAGTACATGTGAGATATATGAGATTCTTTTACTCCTTTAATTAGTGGATGCTGCACATAAGAGCATGATTGTCACCAAGGCCTAATTCTGATCTCTTACATTCACCTTATCTTCTTAATCCGGCAAGTTGGGGTTCACCACCTTGGCGTGTTCACAAAAGATGTATGTAGATAACTTTAAATGATTGTAATGAAATATCTGGTTATAATTATGCTCTTATATGCAGTTCTGAAACACTAAACGAGAGGAAAAGTGTTCGAAAATTCTAGGTGTCGTATTCATATTGCACAGAGTGGACCGCTATCCTACGTATATAACACGTGTTATATGAGTTTCATCAAATAACAAGGTTTTGTTCAAACCTATGGTACAATCGTACAGAATTTAGTGCCATGGTGATATCTGATGAAAATATAGTTCAATGATAATCAAACAAGCGCCTATTCACAAACATGGTCAAAAAGCGTACCATGTTAGTTTACGAGCATCGGGGAAACGTTACATCGTATATTTTGGTTAGTTTACCATAACATGTGTAAATTATTACTGGCACAAATACTAGTATAGAATACTACGGACTTTGAAAGAGAATATACATCAGATGTTTTTACGCTTTCAATAGGCTGTTTTCAAGTATAGAATACTGGAACGTCACAATATTATTATTACTATAATTGTCATTATTATTATTATTTTCCACATTATTCACCCTCTTTTATACTTATACAGCGGCTCGTCTTTGGTGAAAATTCGACTGTATCTAAACGTTCTCGAGTCACTGTCCGGTTGAAAATTGCATGTTACCACCGAATATGAGTACTGAAGCAGTTTTTCTGAAACCACGTGCACCATTCAAACTGGCTGCCTTCAACGTTCGCACACTTATGCAGGTTGGTCAACAGATATGACTGGCTATGTCTTTGGAAAGTCTTAATATCGACGTTTGTTGTCTATCCGAGACCCCTATTCAAGTCTCTGGTGAAGTACTACAAATTCGCTCTCCATCTGTTACTTCAAAAAGCTTGTTTTAAGTGCACTTATCCGGGGACCCTGTGGCATCTTTATCTGGTCTTGCTGGCGTTGGTGTCGCACTAAGCGCTAGAGCTGAAGCAGCACGTATCGATTCGATCCCCATTAACATTCGGTTTTGTGCTGTTAGATTAGAAAGTTCCATCAAAGTGAGAAGAAATCGGCGTGAGAAACAATGTCTTTTCGTCATCTCCGCCTATGCTCCGACAGATTGCAGTCCGGATGCAATCAAGGATAAATTCTACCACCAGTTATCTGTTCTGCTCCAGAAAGTGCGTTCGACAGATATTGTAGTACTAGACGGAAACTCGAATGCTCTGGTTGGGCATCTAGACACAGAAGAGAGTCGTTTAGGTGGCCAATAGGGAATTGTTGGTCGCAGGACAGATAACGGGGACCGTCTATTGCAACTGTGCACAGACCACAACCTGTTTCTGGCTAGCACTAACTTCCGGCACAGTCATCGCCAATGTACCACCTGGCGTCCTTCCTCTGCATCTCAAGCATGGATTCAGATTGATTACATCGCGATCAGCTACTGCTGGCGTGGTTGTGTACAAGACTGCCGCTCCTTTTGGAGTGTTTATCTGGACTCTGACCATGCCTTGTTCTGCGCCAATCTTACCTTACTTTTCAGTGAACAACGAAGTGACCGCCACCAACGGATTGATGTTAGCAAGCTGGTTGCAACTTCTGTTGCAAATAAGTATCGAACCGAGTTAGCCTCTAGGCTAGCTACCACTCCACCGAAAAGTATAGATGAGCATTGGTTGCAATTGCTTGACGCCATGAAAATGGCGGGAACAGTCAGTTGTGGGTTTGCGAAACGTCCCGCTTTTAAGCACTGGGTTTCTTCTGGTTCCTTACAACTCATCGAGACTCGTCGGTCTACTCCGAGTGACCGTGAGTTTGACCATAAGCGAAGGATGTTACGTAATGAAATCGGGCAAAGCTTGCGTAAGTACCGAGAAGCCTGGTGGTCGAAGCATGCTAATGAGCTGGAAGCAGCAGCTGCATCTGGTAACTACCGGAAGCTCTTCCAACTCATCCGAGCCACTGGGAGCAAGAGGTCTGGTGTGAGTGAAACAATCTGCGAGGATGATAGTATGCCAATCACTAACAGCCATTGACGTCTTGGACGATGGGCAGAATTTTTCGAAGGGCAGTTCAACTGGCCTGCTGCTCCGGCAACGTCTGTCAGACTGTCCTGCCCTCCATGGCCGCTGACGACTGAACCACCAAACGAGGAGGAAGTCCGCAAGGAACTCCAACTCTCGAAGCGTTACAAATTACCTGGCCCAGATGACTTACCTCTGGCTCTTTTTAAAGATGGTGGTGACTTTCTGACTAAGGAATTGACGACGTTGTTTACAAAAGTTTGGGTGTTAGAGAGTGTACCAACGTCATGGAATGAGTCGATAGTTGTCCCTATCTTTAAAAAGGGTTCACGTCGTTCCTGTAACAACTATCGGGGGACAAGTCTACTTCGGATTACGTCCAAGCTATTGGCTTCCGTTATACTTCGTAGGTTGTTCAAATCCCGACAAAGATTGACTCAAGAGAAGCAGGCTGGTTTTCGTTCCGGTCGAGGATGTATTGATCATATCTTCACCCTCCGCCAAATGTTAGAACACCGTCATATTTATCACAGGCCAACAATCGTAATGTTTCTTGACATCAGGGCTGCCTTTGATTCGTTGGACAGGACTGTTCTCTGGGATTGTCTATTGAAGAAGGGTGTGCCTGAGAAGTTTATTAACATCCTAAAAGCCCTATATACAAACACCTCAGGCAGAGTGAGGGCATACAACCACCTCTCTCCATTGTTCCATTCGAGCAGTGGGGTTAGGCAGGGTTGCCCAATCTCACCACTCCTCTTCAACTTTGCCATCGACGACATTCTGGAAACAGCTCTGATGAATGTAAGCAATGGCGGTGTGGATCTGTTGCCTGGAGAAAGACTTCTCGACCTTGAGTATGCGAACGATATTGTCTTACTGTGCGATAATGCCCAAGGCATGCAATCCGCACTTAATCAGTTGGCAATCAGTGTCCGTAGGTATGGTATGTGCTTTGCACCTTCGAAGTGCAAAGTACTTCTTTCTACAAGACTGGCAGTATTCTAATCCTGTACTCACCCTAGATGGTGAGCAGATAGAAGTAGTCGGGAAGTTCATGTATCTAGGTAGCTGCATAAGTGCTGGTGGTGGCGTGAGTGATGAGATCAATGCACGTATAGTGAAAGCCAGAGTGGCTTATGCCAATCTGGGCCATCTTTGGTGCCTTCGTGATTTCGGTCTGGTTGTAAAAGGTCGAATCTACAACGCGTCGGTGAGAGCAGTTCTGCTGTATGCTTGTGAAACCTGGCCTCTCCGAGTTGAGGATGTTAGACGACTCTCTGTGTTCGGTCATCGTTGTCTCCGAAGGATTGCTGACATCCAGTGGCAACACCATGTTAGTAATTCAGAGGTTCGGCATCGTGTGTTCGGGCACAGAGATGATAATGCGATTGGTGTCACCATCTTGAAACTTTCGTGCCTATAGGTAACCCTCGTGTTATTGATAGAAGAAGTCAGACACTAATTGAATGAAATCTTTATTTCGATCTTAGCGCAGTCACAGTGGAGCGTGGGATTATCTGTTCAGACAA